AGTGAGCTATCTTTTCACATTTGGTTACATTTAAGGATATTACAAACAGACCCTGTATGATGCCCGAGTCTGTCCAACTTACCCGGCCACTTTTAAACACCTCGCTATTCTCGCCCAGGGCCAGCTCTGCAGACGACTTACAAAATTCAGCCAGGCCCCCGATGGGCAGGTATTCCTTATCCATGTTTTTGGCAGCAATCTGGGCCTCTGCCTAGACAAGGGAAAATGCATTCATTTAGTCCCGTCTCCTTACCTGAAAAGATCGTGATTTATGTTGGAGACTTTCTAAGTAAAATTTTAGAAATCTTTCTGCTTTTGTTTTCTTTATACCTTCCTGGAAACCTGAGCTGTATTTTATTATTATTATTTTAAATAGTTTTGCTGTGGTAAAACATATATGTAACAAGAATTTATCAATTCAACATTTTTTACGTGTACAATTCAGTGAAGTCAATTATGTTCAGCATGTCGTCTAGCCAACACCACTCCGCATTTCCAAATCACCCCACCAGCATTTGTGACGCTAAGCAAGGCCTCTCTTCTCTCCACCCCTCCTGTCCCTGGTAATCAGTCACTGATAAAACTTTGATGTCTATACACTTGCCTTTTCTAAGACAAGGCAGACAAGTGGGATCACATAATACTTGTTCTTTTGTGACTGACTTATTTCCCACAGCATCATGTTTTCAAGTTTCATCCAAGATAAAACATTGCTTTTTATTTAAAGTGACTGTAGTTTGTGTCAGTACTGTTGGGAGAACATAAGTGTAGACACAGGTCTCCTGGATCTCAGCACCTTTGCTACCACCCCCCAGCAGCTCCCTTCAGTTTACTTCTCTGATTTAGCAGCAGGTGGACGGCAAGCTCACCTTCCGGACACTAGGGAGCACATAAGGCTTTCCGTTATCGTCCCGGTAGGCTCCGACTCCCAGATTCATCTTTTTGCTGTTGGTATCTCTCTTAAAAGCTTCTGTGACTCCCAGGATGGGATCTGGGGGCCCCATCTCCACATGGGCCCACCACGAGCTGAAATGAGATATAGGACATCAGTCAAGTGGGCTAGAGCTTCATGGTCACAGATGTCTTTGATTAGCCAAATTCTATTCCTAGAAATATGGAATTCTGGTAGTATAGAGGTTACGGATTGTGCTGCTAACCTCCAGGTCGGCAGTTCAGAAAGCCTCATCTTTCTCCTGAAGAACAGCTAGTAGTTTCGAACTGCTGACCCTGAAGATAGTAACCACTATGGTACCCGAGCTCCATAAGCATAAGTGTACAGCAGGATACATGAGTAGGCTTTCAGAGCAGCACAACCCTGACCTGAATTCCCTCAGCAGAGAATCCTTCAAGTCATCTAATAGTCAGATGACAAGAGCAGGGAAAAGATGAGAGAAAGAAGTAAGGATCAATGTAATTGTGTTATTCGCTGCGTTTTATCCTGTCCTCAAATTTGGTAGAGAACCAATTGGAGTGTTTGCTAAATATACAGGCTCTTGAATTCTACTCTGGATGTAGGGAGTGGACTTGCACTTTGGAGAGTCCATCTGGTCACTGGGTGGGAGTACTGAATGAACACAGATTGGTACGAAGGCTGCATAAGGATCGTTGAAGACACTGGTTTGTTACTCAGAAAGAGAAACAGATGTGGGCCTGGACCAACAGAAGAGACAAAGTTGCTAGGTATTTAAGAATTAAACATCAACATTACTTTAGGAATCAAAAATCAATTATTTATAACATCTTACTGGCTTCTTCATCAATTAATGAGCTAAAATGCCAACAGTGTTATTATTTTATATTTGTATAAGACTTACAATATTTCTTAAATATTAACTCTCTTAAAGGCCATCAATGTCCAAGGGAGTCACCTGACTGAGCCATGTGAATTTTGTCACTGGAGAAGTACATTAGTATACCACCTCCCACGCAGTTCCCCATACGAAGGAGAAGTTACTTTGTGTAAATGTTATGATCAATGAGTGACTGAGATTATACTGGGGTCAACTGTTCATGTTGTTAGGCGCCATCGAGTTGATTACCAGTCATAGTGGCCCTCGTACAACAGAAGAAAACATTGCCTGGTCTTGTGCCATCCTCCCAATTGCTCCTGTTAAGTGCTGTTGAGTTGGACCCGACTCATAGTAATCCTGTATAGAGTTTTCAGGGGAGGGGTAGTTGGTGAGTTTGAACCCCTGACCTTGTGGCCCAGTGTTTTATCACACAGTGCCACATCAGGGCTGACAGAGAAGTACAGCTGTGTATGTGCATTTATTTTTCAAGGGAAAAAAAAAAAGTAAAGTTTTGCTAAAGAAGTAGTTCTCAAACTTCTTTAGTCCGTGGATCCCTTGATGGTTGTTAGGTGCTGTTGGGTCAGTTCTGACTCCTAGTGACCCTCTCTCTGTATAACAGAAGGAAACGAGTCTCCATCAGGCATTCTCCCATGTTGGAGACCACTGCTGTAGGCCCTGTGTTAATCATCTCAGTGAGAACTGTGGGGTGCTAAGCGACCTAATGTCTCTTCTAGCCAGAGTCTGTAACTATCTCAGTGAGAACTGTGGGGTGCTAAGCGACCTAATGTCTCTTCTAGCCAGAGTCTGTAACTCCCACCAGACAACCTGTCTGTCTGTCCTGCTGGGTCTAGATAAGAGAAGTGGGCAGCGATACTATTAGGATGACAGGATTCAGCTGTGGATGTTAGCAGCGTTCACTGGTTAATTGTAAACACTTCAAACTCTAGCGTAGGTTTAAAACGAGCCATCTCAGGAGGAGGGGGGATCTCACTACCATCAGAGAAGAACTAGGAGGGGAGAGTGTCCTTTGGATTCCAAGGTCCCTGCACGTTGAAGCTCCTTGACCCAGGGACAGAAAGCTGTGACATGGGAGGAGTGGCAGAGGAGCAGAGCAGCAGGCCACAAGACAGGCCAGTGCCCTTTCCAGTCCATGGAGCAAGTAAAGCTGAGGGACTTTGGACAGGAAGTTTGCCTGTGGAGTGGGATGCTCATAGGCACGTAACTGGGGGTGGCGGTGGAGGCTATGTTTGCTGACACCCGGAGCTAGAGCTTAGTGACTCCAGCCTGAGGCTTATGGTGGAGCGGTGTGTCCAGTAGGCATTCACCATTTACCAGCAGTCCTACAAGAGCTCTGTAGCATTGTCCAGGCAGAGGGAGGTGCCTGCTTCTATGACTGAGGAGGCTGTCCTGACTGGAACAACTGCGTCCTGAGCATTCTGACCCTGAACTGTTCACTTCCCCAATAAAACCCAGAACTGTAAGTGTGGTGTCTGAGTTGTGTGGCCATTGGAACGAATTCTGGAACCCAGCTGAGCGTTGTGAGAGGACCAGTGGGTACTGCATCTTGTTGTAACGCTCTGCCTCTTTTTTGCTGAATGTCTACTCCAGTGAGCATCATGTCCTCCTCCAGAGAATGGTCTCTCCTGATACCATGTCCAAAGTAAGCAAAACAAAGTGTTGCCAGCCTTGTTTTTGAAACACTTTAAAAAACACTCTTTAAGATGGAGCGGCTGGGGACTCTAGATCTAGAGAGGGAGAGGGGCTGTGTGCTGACAACGAAGGGGCATGCTTGCAGGGTAAACCCTTTGGTTGGTGGAGGATGCATGAAGGAGACTGTAGCCATGGCAATGAAACTATATACGACAGGATGAATGTAAAGCTAATGCTCTCCCATGTAAACTATCACATACATAATTCACAGTAAAACATTAAGAAAAAAAAAAAACAACACTCTTTAAAACTTACTGCGGACTTCAAACAGCTTTTACTTATTTGAGTTATAAGTATCACTGTATACAATATTATAAAATTAATGCAGAAAAAAATTAAACAACAGAAATCAGCAAGCATTGCATCTCAATATTAGTCAAGGAATTTATATACAAAAGTGGGGATTGTTTTCCTGCCTTTTGATTATGTATATATTTTTTCTAGAATCTTGGGAGACATTGTCATCATCCTTCTGCCTCACAAGCACTAGTACCAAGTTTCAAAATCCCTCCCGTTGTTTTTCACGGCTCTAGGCTACTTGATTGTTCCTAGTATCCAAGCAATAGTGAGAAACACAGATACCACTACGCAACTTCTGAACAGGACCTGAAGAAAGCATTCATTCTTACCTCTTTTGAAAAGTGTAGCCACCTGCCTGTCTACATCACTGTCATTAACTGCTGAGTGAAAGGAGTACTGTAAATGTCAAGGACGTATTAGATTGTAAGAGAGAAAGGTTCCTATAAGCAGTTTTCATTTTCCATTCAAGAACAGAGAGAAGCTACTTTTTCTGAATGCAGTTACTCACAGTCTGTCCCCGACCACCAGGACAGACGGTCCCATTCTTAAGTTGTATGAAAAAGCATTTATTTATCAAATCCTTTAAAAAAGTTTATCTAGCACAGGAAGTCTCTGAGAAGACACAGTCCTGAGTGTTCTGGCAGAAATTTGAGGGAGGAGAGACGTTTATCTTTTAAGGAGAAGTCTAAAAACAATGTCAAAATATTGACTTTTAAGCTATCTAAATATAGGAGTGCTGTTATTCATTGCTGACTCGTGGAGACCTCAGTATAGCAGAAGGAAACATTAACCTGCACTGTATCAAGCAATGTTCTGTTGTGCTCCATAAGGTTTTCAAAGGCTGTTTTTTGGAAGTAGATCAACAGTCTGGAAATTCCACTGAAACCGGTCCACTGTGGGTATGCGAACTATTGGCAGCACAGTCTCCAGCAGAGTAGCAACATACAAGCACCACAGTACAACTGACAGATAAATGGTGGAAATATACACGTAGATACAACATTAGTAATTGTGCTCAATGTCTTTTATGATCTTCAGGATTCCATTCTTTAAAAGGATAAAGAATCTACATATACATTGTAAGAACTCTGATGGTTTTCAAGAGATAGTTACCAGATGAAAACAAGAGTACCTAGAGACAAAGTAGGTGCTGATAACCTGTGGCCTATGCACTTTGGACAGAAGCTCAAAGCCTCAGCCACGGAGCAATACTGACGAGGCAATCAAAAGAACAAAGGGATCAGAGAGCATTTCCAGTTCAAATGTTTTCGAATTTACCCAAAGCTTAAATCTATCTGCTGGTGGTTTTGTGCCATTGAGTTTCTGAGGCTGTAAATCTTTATGGGAACAGAAAGTCTCATCTTTCTAAGGAGCAGTGGGTAGATTAAAACTGCTGATCTTGCAGTTAGCAGCTCAACGAGTAACCCACTACACAACCAGTGCTCCTTAAAGTCTCCCTATTATTGTTGTTAAGGAGCTCTGGTAGTGTAGTGGTTACCAGTAAGGCTGCTAACCTCAAGGTCAGCAGTTTGAAACTACTAGCGGTTCTACAGGAGAAAAATGAGGCTTTCTGCTCCCGTAAAGATTTACAGTCTCAGAAACGCTATACAGGGTCACTATGAGTTGGAACCAACTCTACGGTACACCATCACCACCATTGTGGTTGTTAAGTGCCATTGAGTTGGTTCTGATTCATAGTGATGCTGACTAGGAGTGGCTGATGGGTTTGAACCATCAACCTTACGGTTCAAACTGACCTTATTGTCCAGTGCATTGTCCTGCAGCAGTACACCAGGACACAAAAGTCTACTAGTGCTTTACAATTTCTATAGTGTTTTCTCCTGTCTTATTTTAAAATGAGAGGAGAGGTTGATTAACTTGTCCGAGGTCTTAGAGCTAAAGACAGCAGAGAAAGTATGGCAGGTTTGATCTTCAAAGCACTGATTATTGTCTCACTAATAAATAGGCCCTCACTTATTTCACCACAAATTATATAGTCAGACCAGAACAATTAAAAAACAGGTCATTAGAAATTGAACTGCAAGAGCATATATCTTTTCCTTTCTTCATGGACCTGTGACTTGGTCGGTTGTGTGACCATGTTTTATAGCACAGGCCAGAAAAAAGGAGCTTCCATGCACTATGCTTACTGTTTACAAAATGCATACGCATTTGGAATGAGTTCTATTTCAACAACCCGCACATGAAAATAAAGTACTTCAAAGGATAAATCTTCAGTTCTTCAGAAGAGCAATGACTAAGGTTTTACTGTACAGGTATGCATTGCTTAACCTCCCTTTAGGAACTATCTGGCTACAAATATGTCTATCAGTGGTTCCATTAAGAGTTTTTATTATTTATTTGTTTTAAAGGGGAAAGCTGCTCTCCTTTTGTTATTTCCCCCTAACAATTTCGAGGAATCCTGGATTGCTAAATGCAAGGTTGGTGGTTCAAACCCAGGAGTTGCTCCTTAGAGAACGCTGTGGAGGCTGTTTGCTCCCATCAAGATACACAGTCTTGGAAGCCCTCTGGAGCAGTTCTGTTCTATAGTGTTGCTGAGTCGGAGTCAGTTTGAAGGCAGTGGGGGTTTTAAGACCTCAAACCCATACACACCCAGACTGTTGCAGCACTGGACCACTGGGAGATACAGGCAGGAGAGGCAAAGGACATGGCTGTGTGTGCGGACTCTTAAGCTTTGTCTGGTGGGCATGCAGGTCGGCAGAACAGTGGGCAGGGCTGCGTGTGTTCCATGCCCTCCCCAGGCTCCACTCCTCCCAGCCACATTCCTCCGCCTTCCACCAGCAGCCTGACCAGTTAGTGGCAGCAGTGTGACAAAGCAGGGTCCCCAAAGGTTTTCATATTGATAGGGCATTCGCACAATGTCCAAATCACGGCGCATACCGCGGGCAGTAAGCAGTGCATACCTGTATTAGATAGAATAAGCTATTTTTATAAAAGGAAACTTCAAAGGCTTGAGTTTGTTTGAAATGTTTTCCACTTTTACCATTTGGCTCTTGGCCGAGATCACGTCCCCAGTGGCTTGGGGAAAGGTCCTCCCTAGACTGCTGCCTGAACGACTGACGTTCCTGATGAGCAGCTGCACAAAGATCTGAACGCTTCAGTGTTTGTACGTATTTCACACCGCTGGGATGCCCATATTTCTCTAGATAACCACGTCAAAGTGACATGCATTTGTTTCTGTTGCATTAATTTAATGCAGGGTTTAAAAATAAAAATACTCATTTGAGAAAATATGCCAAGCACTGTTCTATGAGAAACATAACACTGAACAAAGTAGGTAAAATCTTTGCTTGCATGGAGCTTGCATTCTAGTGGGGAAGCGACAGAAAAATGAGTCAGGCTCTCAAACTGAAAGAAAAGCTAAGAGGCTGCACCCAGAGGGATTTCAACAAAAGGCGGGATTCAGGCCAAATCCGTAAAACAAGGGACAATGATTCAGATTACTACCGTGCTGAAACTTTCTTTCCTCAAATTTTATACATCCCTGCCTTTCCTCCAAATCTGCTTTATAAATGTGGTCCTCCCCAGTTCTGGCTCACATGTGGGCAGGCGTAAAGAGCACACCTTGACAGTAAGCCAAGAAGGAGCCAAACTGGGCAGAAAAGGAAGTGTGAAGGCCTGGGCAAAACAGTCCTGCCAAGAGTGACCCATTTTGGAAAGGACAGACTGTTCTGCTGGTTTAGAGGTATCCTGCACACGCGTGCATACAAACTTGAGGCCAACACAGACACAAGAGGCCAAGGTTTTGCTCTTTGTATGTATATGTGGTAGAGGGTGGTTTTGAGATTCGTTGTTACTGGAAAGTTAATTCGACATGGGGGCAGAGTAGAATTGCCAGGCCTGTCCTCTAGGGCACCTCTGGGTGAGCCTGAACTGCCGATAGCCATTTGCACCACTGGGTACCACTTAATAAGTACACTGCCCTAAGTCTGCTTCTTGAGCAAAATGAACTGTTTCAAAATGCGACTTAATCAAAATCATACCAAATCCACAAGCCCGGAGGACAGACTAGATCAGCCCCATAGGGTTTCCAGAGCTGTAATCTTCACAGAAGCAGTGCCATGCATCGCCTCCTGCTGGAGGGGCTGGTTACTGCAAGTCACCGACCTTTCAGTTTGTAGTTGAGTACTTCAACCTGGGAAACCCTATACAGGGTCGCTATGGGTCGGAACTGACTCGATGGCACATAACAACAACAACTTCAACCACTAAGCCACCAGGTCTTTACTGCAACTGTGAGTCCTGACTCGTAACAAGCCTGCATAGGGTTTTTTTTTTTTAATAATAAAAAAAACAACCCCAAATGCTTTTATTGTAGATTTGAGTAAAGGTTTACAAGGCAGATCATCAGTTTTACATTCAACAAATCATTGCAAGGATTACAATCCCCTCCAGGTACCATCAGTTAACAGTATTTACCTATTACAGTTTTTTCTTTTTTTGATGTATACCTATTGTTGCTGTTAAGTGATGAAGAGAGCCGGGTTTTAATCATAGCGACCATGGGGTTTCCAAGGAATGGCTGATTAGCTTGAATTTCCAATCTTGCAGCACCACATCAGGGCTCTGATGTATACATACCACATCGAAAACATGTTTGTTTAAATGTCCAAAGGGCACATTTTGCAAGCCTGCCTCCTGCCTGCAGGTACAGTGCCTTTCTCAGTCCGTGGGCCTAGAGTCCTCTGCACACTCTCTCTCTCTCTACTGAAAGGGTTTTGAGGCTGTACATTTTTATGGGAGCAGAAAACCTCATCGAGGCTGGTGGATTCGAACTGCTGACCTTACGATTAGCTGCCCAACACATTATTTGGGCTCCTTAGGTCTCTACAAGGAGTAAATTACTGGGTCATTTTATGTTCCATACGTTTCCTCTGCAACCTGTTTGAAATTACACATTTGTAATTTTTTCCAGTGTCACCTGTCCTTCCCTCAGTCTTGGTTCACGGCTCAGCTCTCTGATCATCTGGACCAGGGCTTGGCTGAGACAATGGGGTTACGAAATAGTTACTGAGCAGAGGGAATTTCGAAGTAGCAAGAATGCGACTTCCCTACCATCAGATCTCCAAAGAGCTTAAAACTCTTCCCACCAAACGCCAGACGGTCCGGGGGACACCCAAGGCTCAGGTGACACTCAGACCGGAGGGTGCCGGGCGCCAAGGTCACCGGGTGCAGAGAGAAGAGCGGGTTTTGGCCGCCCGCGACCCGGAAACCATCTTCTCGTGCGCTCCCCTCCCCTGCGCTCATTAGGGGAAGTCGGTCGTGGTCTCGCCGACCCCCGCTCGGGCTCTAGGGAGGTCGTGACAGGTGCGCCTGCCACCTCTTAGGGCGTTCGTCAAGGGCAAACGAACCCCTTGGCGCCGCAACCAATGGGTGCGAGGCAGGTCCGGCGCCGCAGCCCGCGTGCCGGGGCCCTGGCACCCCCTGCTCGCGCGAACTCCGCGCCCCGGCCTGCGGCTCGCGCAGCCCCCCAGTCCCCATGGCAGTCCGGGTGCCGCAAAGGGCCACACTTCCTGTCCCAGGGGAAGGCTGGGAACACCCTCAAGGCTGCCCGGAGGAGGGGAGAGAGATGGGACCCCGGGGGGATGAGGGGGAGGGGAAAGAGGTGGGACCTCGGGGTCACTGCGAGGCGCCGACTCTCCATCGTACCCCGGTGCAGGAAAACCGAGGGGATGCCAGGGAAGCTGTGTGTGTGTGTACGCGGGTGCAAGCGCGTGAGTGGAGGGGAATGGCCAGGGTAGCCGCAGCTCGCTGGCCAGGCCCGTCGTCCCGGCTCAGTCTCCGCATCCTTCGCTTACCTGGCTCTGGAAGAAGCCGCGGCGGCGAGGCCCGGGTGGAAGGCGGCGGTGATCCCGGAGAGGAGGCGACCGGAGTGCAGCAGGGCCATGGTGGGCGGCAGGAGGGCAGTGGCTAGCGGCAGACGGATCCGAGGGCAAGCGGGCGTACACACCGAGGCGCGGGTTCCTGGCGAAGGTAAGGACAGCGACTCCCCGGGGAGAGGCTAGAGCTGCCGCTCGCCGCGCCCGAGCGCCGTCACAGCGGCCCCTGGCGGCCGGGGGTGGCCAGGCGCGGCCTCCGCGGAGCCGCGGCCTGCGCTCCGCTACTGTCAGGCTGTCCGACTGGGACCTCGTGGCCTGGGGACTGATAGCGATGCTTCCTGCCGCCCGCAGTGTCCCGGTTCCGGCTGCGCCAGGCCCTTTGCCCGTTTCATTCATTTACTCTCGACGGCTATATTGCCAGTGTTGAGGTGGAGAAAATGCAGACAAATTACAGTGAAGTAATTTGTTCAACGCCATACAGCCGATAGGTCCTGGGTAGTGGATGTGTTAACTGCTTCAAGTTGGTTCCGACTCGCAGCGACCCCGTATAGAGTTTCCGAGGAGAAGCTGGTGGGATTGAACCACTGACCATGTGGTTCAAACCGACCTTCAGGTCGCGTGCTTGTCCTATGGTGCACACCAGGATTCCAGGCCCTAGGTGGTCCACCCTAAACGTTCAGGTGTTCTTTTTCCCCAAGTCCAAGTTACCTCACTGCCTTCCTAAATGTTACCTTATCTCAATTTTGGCAAAGGAACCCTGGTGGAGCAATGGCTAAGCACTGAGGACAGCAGTTTGAACCCACCAGCTGTGTATATGGGGAAAGGCTTGGTGACCAGCTTCCCTAAAGATTGCAGTCTCAGAAACCCTATGGGACACATCTACTCTGTTTTATAGGGAGCCCTGGTGACAACCTCGGATAAACACTGGACTGCTAACCACTTGTCCCTTGGTGGTTTAAACCCACCTGTGTCTCTGCCAGAGAAAGATGAGACTGTACTCCCTTAAAGGTGGACAGCCTCGGAAACCCTATATAGGGTTGCTATGACTTGGAACTGACTCCACAGCACATGACCATCAAAGATGTACAGCCTCATAAACCCTATATAGGGTCGCTATGAGTCTGAGTCGAATCTGTGGCAGTGTGTTTTGGTTTAAACAAAACCACAGTACACATCATCCTCGTAGTGAAGAAAACTGTTATGAGGATTAAGTGAGATTACCAGATTATCTCTAAAGATAACCCCTGGTTTCTTAATGACAAATCAAATCCTTACAATTATGTGTGGAAGGGAACGAATACATTTTAAAGGAAAAATTGAATTAATTGTCAATCACAAAAAGAAAAATATTGTATGAGACCTTTTTGGTAAATATTTAAGAAAAGTTTTTCATACCAAAAGAAACATTTTTTTGATGGTTACCAGGGTTGGGAGGGAAGGGGAGTAATTCACTGGCTAGAAGGTTGTTGTTGTTAAGCTAGAGGGTAGACACATGTTAACTCGGGTGATGGGGAGGGCAATTTATCAGAAGGGGGAGGGCAATATACAGAAGGGAGGGTGGCAGAAGAATGATGAAGACAGGTGAAAATACAGGGAAGTATGCATGGGCTAAAGAGGGTAGAGGTAAATAGTGGTATATATACAACCTTGGAACAACCGTGCCTAGATACATGGGATTGAGATATAGAATGGGTATCTGTCTATGTATGTATGTATGTATGTATGTAT